TGGAAGTATGCAAGGGTTGGATAAAAGGTACCCAACTATGTGGCTAATGATGGTTATTATTGCAGTATAAGAGCTCACTATATTCCAATGTTTACCCTCTCACTAGCTACCTTTGCGAGGGAACTTTGCAAGATCCTCACGTAAGCTCCTGATCAACCGGACTGTGGTGCCTACACTAGAACGAGCGCTGTTAGCGCTAACACATTTTGGATCTTCACAACAACGCCATGAAGTACAGGCACCATGAACAATTAGACATGTGCAACATCTACAACACCAACCAGTGACTTTATTGATAAAACCACCGCTTGGCGAAATGTCTGCCAAGTAGGGGTACCTGGGTTTATTTTACACAGATCGATTTACAGCCGAAGAGCTGTTACCCAACCTCAGTTCATTACAAAGCCCAGCCCTATCTAAGGCATTCTACCACACCTCCTAGTATGCGACTCATAACAGTCGACTAACACCCAGGTACGTACTTACTGCTAGCTGAACAGTGACAGCAGGTGTAAGGTGACTAGCACCCAGGTACGTACTTACTGCTAGCTGAACAGTGGCAGCAGGTGTAAGGTGACTAACACCCAGGTACGTACTTACTGCTAGCTGAACAGTGACAGCAGGTGTAAGGTGACTAACACCCAGGTACATACTTACTGCTAGCTGAACAATGGCAGCAGGTGTAAGGTGACTAACACCCAGGTACATACTTACTGCTAGCTGAACAATGGCAGCAGGTGTAAGGTGACTAATACCCAGGTATGTACTTACTGCTAGCTGAACAGTGACAGCAGGTGTAAGGTGACTAACACCCAGGTATGTACTTACTGCTAGCTGAACAGTGGCAGCAGGTGTAAGGTGACTAACACCCAGGTACGTACTTACTGCTAGCTGAACAGTGGCAGCAGGTGTAAGGTGACTAACACCCATGTACGTACTTACTGCTAGCTGAACAGTGACAGCAGGTGTAAGGTGACTAACACCCAGGTACGTACTTACTGCTAGCTGAACAGTGGCAGCAGGTGTAAGGTGACTAACACCCAGGTACGTACTTACTGCTAGCTGAACAATGACAGCAGGTGTAAGGTGACTAACACCCAGGTACGTACTTACTGCTAGCTGAACAGTGGCAGCAGGTGTAAGGTGACTAACACCCAGGTACGTACTTATTGCTAGCTGAGCAGTGGCAGCAGGTGTAAGGTGACTAACACCCAGGTACGTACTTACTGCTAGCTGAACAGTGGCAGCAGGTATAAGGTGACTAACACCCAGGTACGTACTTACGGCTAGCTGAACAGGGACAGCAGGTATAAGGTGACTAACACCCAGATAACTACTTATTGCTAGGTTTTCTGGCATGATCATTCCATTCCTAATACCTCCATATTTTAGCGAATATCATATTTGAAGGGTAACAGCAAGGCGATTTAATTTTCTTGAGAATTTTCCACCAGGAAACTTGGTCTGAGACAAGGATACAGGGACGATGCTACCAGACTTCACTACAAGCAGGTATACCATGAGATGGTTTCGGGGATCAATGCCCCTGCGACCCGGTCCGTGACCAGGCCTTCTAGATAAGATTCTTTTCCCCTCCAAAATGTCTTGGGTGAAACCAGGCCTCCTAGATATGACTCCTGTCCCCTCCAAAATGTCTTGGGTGAAACCAGGCCTCCTAGATACGACTCCTGTCCCCTTCAAAATGTCTTGGGAGAAACCAGGCCTCCTAGATACGACTCCTGTCCCCTTCAAAATGTCTTGGGTGAAACCAGGCCGCCTAGATACGACTCTGTCCCCTCAAACTGTCTTGGTGTGATAACCAGGCTCTTAGATATGACTCCTGTCCCCTTCAAAATGTCTTGGTGAAGCCAGGCCGCCCTAGATACGACTCCTGTCCCCTCCAAAATGTCTTGGGTGAAACCAGGCCGCCTAGATACGACTCCTGTCCCCTCCAAAATGTCTTGGGTGAAGCCAGGCCGCCTAGATACGACTCCTGTCCCCTCCAAAATGTCTTGGGTGAAACCAGGCCTCTTAGATATGACTCCTGTCCCCTTCAAAATGTCTTGGGTGAAGCCAGGCCGCCTAGATACGACTCCTGTCCCCTCCAAAATGTCTTGGGTGAAGCCAGGCCGCCTAGATACGACTCCTGTCCCCTCCAAAATGTCTTGGGTGAAACCAGGCCGCCTAGATACGACTCCTGTCCCCTCCAAAATGTCTTGGGTGAAGCCAGGCCTCCTAGATACGACTCCTGTCCCCTTCAAAATGTCTTGGGTGAAACCAGGCCGCCTAGATACGACTCCTGTCCCCTCCAAAATGTCTTGGGTGAAACCAGGCCTCTTAGATATGACTCCTGTCCCCTCCAAAATGTCTTGGGTGAAGCCAGGCCTCTTAGATATGACTCCTGTCCCCTCCAAAATGTCTTGGGTGAAACCAGGCCTCTTAGATATGACTCCTGTCCCCTCCAAAATGTCTTGGGTGAAACCAGGCCTCTTAGATACGACTCCTGTCCCCTCCAAAATGTCTTGGGTGAAGCCAGGCCTCCTAGATACGACTCCTGTCCCCTCCAAAATGTCTTGGTGAAACCAGGCCTCCTAGATACGACTCCTGTCCCCTTCAAAATGTCTTGGGTGAAACCAGGCCTCCTAGATATGACTCCTGTCCCCTCCAAAATGTCTTGGGTGAAACCAGGCCTCCTAGATACGACTCCTGTCCCCTCCAAAATGTCTTGGGTGAAACCAGGCCTCCTAGATACGATCTTGTCCCAAAAATGTTTGGGTGAAACCAAGGCCTCCTAGATTTCACTCCTGTCCCTCCAAAAGTCTTGGGTGAAACCAGCCTCCTAGATATTCGATCCTGTCCCCTCCAAAATGTCTTGGTGAAACAAGGCCTCCTAATACGACTCCTGTCCCCTCAAAATGTCTTTTGGTAAAACAGGCATCCTAAAATTTGACTCCTTTGATCGCCCCACCAAAATTTTCTTGGGGGTGAAACCGCCCTCCTAGACGACTCCTGTCCCCTCCAAAATGTCTTGGGTGAAACCAGGCCTCCTAGATACGACTCCTGTCCCCTCCAAAATGTCTTGGGTGAAACCAGGCCTCCTAGATACGACTCCTGTCCCCTCCAAAATGTCTTGGGTTGAAAACCAGGCCTCCTAGATACCACTCCTGTCCCCTCCAAAATGTCTTGGGTGAAGCAAAAATATATTTAAATAATATTTTTTTTTAATTTTTCATGAATACACAGTATGTTAAAAAAATTAAATTTCGATAAAAGTATATACAAATATGTAAATATATTTTTGCATATTTACGTGAAATGAAATAAGTTTATATAAATATATATATATTTTTCTCCCTATATATATTGGTTAACCAAGAATATATTTCAATAAAAATTTAATGGGAGAATAATTTTAAAATTTGAATTTTTTTAGAACTAGAGCCTTATTCTGCCATGTACTAGTTTACCTGGAGAGGGGGTCAACGCCCCCGCGGCCCGGTCTGTGACCAGGCCTCATGGTGGAGCAGGGTCTGATCAACCAGGCTGCTACTGCTGGTCAGGTACCGACTTTAAGTGCCTATCCAGTGCCTGCTTGAAGACAGCCAGGGGTCTATTGGTAATCCCCCTTATGTATGCTGGGAAGCAGTTGAACAATCTTGGGCCCCTGACACTTATTATGTTGTCTCTTACCGTGCTAGTGGCGCCCCTGCTTTTCACTGAAGGGATGTTGCACCGTCTACCGAGTCTTTTGCTTTCGTAGGGAGGGATTTTCGTGTGCAAGTTAGCGTAGGTGAGACGTCTTGGTCAAAAGCGTTCTCATTCTACGTGCGGGTTATCTGTATTTTCTTCCAGTCACGGATTTGTGCGTTTTATTCTTCATTATATAATTATATTCAAAGGCGTATTGCCAAATAAGCTCCGTTGCGTCTGTCGCAAACCAGAATTCCTCTGAGTGTGAATTATTTTTTTCGGGTAATCTGTTGGCAGTCGAGTTGCTGATGCGACGCGAAGTCATAGTTATCAAACCAACTTTTGGTTTGGTTTAAGTCAAGTGAGGTCAGGGTGAGGTCATTCCAACTGAATAGGGCATGTCACACAGGGGAATGATATTGCTTTTTAAATGGAGGGGGGGGGGTGCCAGAGGTCAAGGTGAAGGGGTGCCAGATGTCAAGGTGAGGAGGTACCAGAGATCAAGGCGAAGGGTGCCAGATGTCAAGGTGAGGAGGTGCCAGATGTCAACGTGAAGGGGTGCCATAGATCAAGGTGAAGGGGTGCCAGATGTCAAGGTGAAGGGGCGCCAGAGATCAAGGAGAAGGGGTGCCAGATTTCAAGGTGAGGAGGTGCCAGGTGCCAATGTAAAGGGGTGCCAGAGATCAAGGCGAAGGGGTGCGAGATGTCAAGGTGAAGAGGTGCCAGATGTCAAGGTGAAGGGGTACCAGAGATCAAGGCGAAGGAGTGCCAGATGTCAAGATGAAGAAGTGCCAGATGACAGGTGAAGGGTTGCCAGATATCAAGGTGAAGTGGTGCCAGAGGTAAAGGGGTGCCAGAAGTGAAGGGGTGCCAGAGGTGGAGTGCCAGATGTGAAGGGGTGTCAAAGGTGAAGGGGTGCCAGAGGTGGAGTGCCAGATGTGAAGGGGTGTCAAAGGTGAAGGGGTGCCAGAGGTGAAGTGCCAGATGTGAAGGGGTGTCAAAGGTGAAGGGGTGCCAGAGGTGGAGTGCCAGATGTGAAGGGGTGTCAAAGGTGAAGGGGTGCCAGAGGTGGAGTGCCAGATGTGAAGGGGTGTCAAAGGTGAAGGGGTGCCAGAGACTGGGATGAACAAGTCACAATATTAAGGCCGGAGCAATTAAGAAATACCATTGCTGAAACAATTCACAAATAAACCATGCTTAGAGAAGAAACATCAGACGATATTTCGATCCTTCCTGGACCATTATCAGGACTGCCCTGGTTCAGGACGAACCGAAACGTCGTTTAAAAGATGTATATAAAGACTTCTTACCTCCATCAGCAGTGACCAGCAGCGGCAGGAGCACCATGACCCAGGCTACTTTCATGGTGTTGGAGTGGGGCTCCAACAGTGGTGAATGGGGCTCCAACAGTGGCGAGTGGGGCTCCAACAGTGGTGAATGGGGCTCCAACAGTGGTGAATGGGGCTCCAACAGTGGCGAGTGGGGCTCCAACAGTGGTGAATGGGGCTCCAACAGTGGCGAGTGGGGCTCCAACAGCGCTGGTGAGAGGGTTTCTATGCACAGTACCTGCTTGGAATAGTGTTTCAGCCTTCTTGAGGGTGAAACACTGGATTTGGAGATAAACAGGAATGTTGGAGATGAACAGGGGTGTTGGATATACACAAGGATGTTGGAGATACACAGGGAGGTTGGAGATACACAGGGATGTTGGAGATACACAGGGATGCTGGAGATACACAGGGATGCTGGAGATACACAGGGATGCTGGAGATACACAGGGATGCTGGAGGACACGTAAGGGAAACGGACTGAGCCGCAAAGGGATTGAGCAACGACGGGAGGGTCTTGGAGGACACCCTGGGGGTGATTAGAGGACCGCGGGGGTGTTGAGAGGATCCAGTGGGGTGTTGGAGAGCACCCCAGGGTGTGGTGGTTGGGGAGTTCCCCGCAGTAGCAGCAGCAGCAGCAGCTCCGTCCTTTCTCGTGTCCCGATCAACAATGACGAAGTTTTCTAGTCCATCCTCCAGTTGACCTGAGTTTGTTGTGTTGCCGGTCGTCTCCAACGTCCCCACCGTCACCTCTCTTCTCTTCTTTCCTCCTCATCTCTCCTCCGTTATCCTATCTCCTTTTCTGTAACTCAGTCTCTTCAAATAATAAAAAAAAAGCATAGAAAAGCAGATAAATGATGCTTGAAGAAGTACAACACAGATCATGACGTCAAAGACGGCATGTGATTGGGTGACACGGCACCACCCTCCTTCCTGATTGGCTAGTTCATCTTCCTCCTCCCCCCCGCTTCCTGATTGGTTGGATCGCCTACCCTCTTGGCAGCCAATCAGAGGAACGCTGGCGCGAGTCACGAGGTTAGATCGTTCAATGCCACTCAGTAGCACTTTGACTCCCCTCAGGGGAGGAGGTGCTGTGATGCAAGGGAAGCGCTCCTAATCCGAGGAAATAAAGCTAATGTATTACTTTCTTCTCAAAATCTGATTACCGTCCATATTCCAGACGGATTTAAGTAATTAAAGAATCCTTGAATGGTGGTGAATAGGTGACATGAAGCATTTTGTGGTTGACTAGTTAATGGGGTTTCAAGCTTATCGACTACACGACAGACCTGCATATATTATATATATATATATATATATATATATATATATATATATATATATATATATATATATATATATATATATATATATACATGTATATGTATATATATATATATGTATATATATATATATATATATATATATATATATATATATATATATATATATATATATATATATATATATATATATATATATATATATACATTATATATATACATATGCAATAAGATCACAGTAAACAGGTGATTTCAGAATATGCAAAACAACTACTCTGAAAGAATAGAGAAATTCCAAGCGCTTTCGTGACTACTCACATTATCAAGGAACTATGAAAGTGAAGCATCCAAGGAAGCTATATAAGGGGTCTGGCCAGCACCTCACTATCAGATCCCACAACGGTTAAAACCTGACGCGCGGCGAGCCAACTTGGACAGGTCCTTTGCACAACTCACCCCCAAGCTATTTATTTGTCCAGTGTATTATTAAATTCTACCCAAATTCTATTAATTATAAATGGATCTAATTTATATAAACCAAAGGAAATATTCATATTATTGTCAAAACTGCTTTTTATGAAACAAGATTCAATTATATTCCTGTCGACCATGGACTTGCTTGATACTACTTTCTCAACTTTTTGAAAATCAATTGGATGGTTAAAATCTCTTACATGAATAAATAGAGCATTGGAATCTTGTCCAGTTCTAATGCTATATTTATGTTGTTTTAATCTTAGTTCGAGATTTTTACCAGTTTGACCGTAATAAACTTTATCGCAAATTTTACAAGGAATCTTATAGACACATCCATCAGCATTTTGGGGGGAATTCTTTATCAAAAGTTTTTTGAATACAACTTTAATATTAAAAGTCTTAAGAAGAGAAGGCATATCAACCAAGTTTTCATGGTAAGGGAGAACCAACATATTTTTAGTTGAATAAGGCTGGTTGTCCCTTTTTGGATTGTAAAAAGTATTTCTTGGGTATTTTAAATCATTACCTATTTCATAAATTTTGGATATTTCCTCATCTATGAACTCAGGACTACAAATTCGTAAAGCTCTCAAAAACATTGATGAGAAAACAGACAGTTTGACTCTATCTTGATGCGAGGAATAATAGTGGACATAAGAACAGTTATTTGTAGGTTTTCTGTAAATTCTAAATTTGAATTCATTATTACCCTTAATAATTAAAACATCTAGAATAACTCATTGCCTTTTCTCACCCCACCGGAGTCCCAACAGAAGAGCCTGTATTTCTCTTCTCAATATCTGTCCCACGATCTGTCCCACTCCTCTCCAGCACTATTCTTGGTCTGTCCTGTCTTCCCCGCTCATCCCATTTGGGATCTTACCTGAACTTTCGTTCGTTCGTTCTTTACTTTCATAGTTCCTTGATAATGTGAGTAGTCACGAAAGCGCTTGGAATTTCTCTATTCTGTGTATATTCACGATGATATACATCAGTCGGTGTCCCGTGGCTCAGTGACAACGCACTCGCCTCACCGAATGTCCTTGGTTCGATCCTCGGCACGGGTGGAAACGTTGGGCATGCCTCCTTACACCTACTGTCATCGTTCACCTAGCAGCAATTAGGTACCTGAGTGTTAGTCACTTTAAATCTACTGTCCCCATCCACCTAGCAGCAACTAGGTACATGGGTGTTAAGCAACTGGTATGGGTGGCATCCTGGGAAACAAGATTGAAGAACCACAATGGAGTTAAGATTGACAGTTCTTTAAGACGCATTGACTACTGGGTTATCCTGGGGGACTAACCCTCCCTACCCTGGGTTAAAAATGCCCCCGTGGCAAAACCTCTCGCTTCACACGGTGAAGGTCCGGGTTCGATGTTCACCCATCAGTAAAATGGATACCTGGGTGTTAGTGGACTGGTGTGGGTCGCATCCTGGGTGTTAGTGGACTGGTGTGGGTCGCATCCTGGGTGTTAGTGGACTGGTGTGGGTCGCATCCTGGGTGTTAGAGGCGTGGTGTGGGTCGCATCCTGGGTGTTAGTGGACTGGTGTGGGTCGCATCCTGGGTGTTAGTGGACTGGTGTGGGTCGCATCCTGGGTGTTAGTGGACTGGTGTGGGTCGCATCCTGGGTGTTAGTGGACTGGTGTGGGTCGCATCCTGGGTGTTAGAGGACTGGTGTGGGTCGCATCCTGGGTGTTAGAGGACTGGTGTGGGTCGCATCCTGGGTGTTAGAGGACTGGTGTGGGTCGCATCCTGGGTGTTAGTGGACTGGTGTGGGTCGCATCCTGGGTGTTAGTGGACTGGTGTGGGTCGCATCCTGGGTGTTAGTGGACTGGTGTGGGTCGCATCCCGGTGTTAGAGGACTGGTGTGGGTCGCATCCTGGGTGTTAGTGGACTGGTGTGGGTCGCATCCTGGGTGTTTAGTGGACTGGTGTGGGTCGCATCCTGGGTGTTAAGGACTGGTGTGGGTCGCATCCTGGGTTTTAGTGGACTGGTGTGGGTCGCATCCTGGGTGTTAGTGGGCTGGTGTGGGTCGCATCCTGGGTGTTAGTGGACTGGTGTGGGTCGCATCCTGGGTGTTAGAGGACTGGTGTGGGTCGCATCCTGGGTGTTAGTGGACTGGTGTGGGTCACATCCTGGGTGTTAGAGGACTGGTGTGGGTGGCATCCTGAGTGTTAGTGGACTGGTGTGGGTCGCATCCTGGGTGTTAGTGGACTGGTGTGGGTTGCATCCTGGGTGTCAGTGGACTGGTGTGGGTCACATCCTGGGTGTTAGTGGACTGGTGTGGGTCACATCCTGGGTGTTAGAGGACTGGTGTGGGTCACATCCTGGGTGTTAGTGGACTGGTGTGGGTCGCATCCTGGGTTTATGACTGGTGTGGGTCGCATCCTGGGTGTCATGTGACGTTGGTTGTCACATCCTGGGTGTTAGTGGACTGGATGTGGGTCACATGTCCTGGGTGTTAGAGGACTGGATGTGGTCACATCCTGGGTGTTAGTGGACTGGTGTGGGTCGCATCCTGGGACAAAACCGACCTAATTTGCGGGAAATGTTCAGCATAACAAGTGACTTTCTATATAGTAGTATGTCACTGATGTCAGCTATGGTCTGTATACCTTGCACATGTACTGGTAGTAAATAAAGATTATTATTATTATTTTGGGGAGCGCAAAACCCGTAGGGATTACACAGCGCCTGTGGAGGGGATGATGTAGGGTATTCATGCTTAATTCAGGGAACTGGAGCACAGATCCAATCCCCTAGATCAAGAGCCCCTCACCAGCATCAAGGAACCTCCCTTGAAGGGAATTTCTAATTCTTCTTCCATAAACAAATTTAACTGATTAATTATTATTATTATGGGGAAGCGCTAAACACTTAACTGATTAATACATTAGTTAATCATTAAATATTTTAACGTTTTCTTTAAATAAAGAATTAAGAGAAAACGAATGTTTAAAGGGGTAATTAAAGTAATATTTTAATGGATGCCGCAGTGTAAGTTTATTCAGGTATACATAATACAGTTACGTAGATTATCATACATAGCAGCATATGTCAGTGATTTATTTCCACTGGGGTCCTTATTGACGGGCTCTTGATCCACGGATTTATAGCCAGCGTCCCCTTCTCGGATGAGACCTGATTATCTTACATTCTACAGACAGTGTATGATCCCTGTGAGTTTAGCGCTCCCTTATAAACGCAATTAAATATAGTATAATTAAGAAAGCCCCTTGTTATACAGAGCGTTACGGACAAACTAGGTTATTTTTGTCCCCAGGATGC